CTACACGACTGATGACTGGAATGCATGTGAAACCTCTCCAGATACACGACATTTTTTTAACCAGCGGTAACTGAAGCTTTTAATAGGTTGTAAGGCCTAAAAGAATCTATTTGTAAACAGGTACGTTCTTTCCTTTTTTTTTTTCAAATTTTTCTGTTTTTAGCCGTTTGGGACAACTTTGGCGGTCTGAACTCTTTTTTAATGTCTACGGAGGGCAAGGGTGAAGCAGTACGGATTCATAGCCCTGTAGGTATTCGGCAGTACTTCGACTGTGTCAGGCCGTTTGCTAGCAATGACATAGGTTTTGTAAAATATCCAGTTCAGGTTGGTTTAAAAAAATTTGTTTTCTGCGCCAACTTTATCTTAGAAATTTAGAGCAGTTTGAGAGAAATTTTTACTGCATGGGTAATTCACAACGGAATTTAAATGATTTTTTAATTTAAGAAGAGTCTTAACACTGGTTTACTACATAGATATACTAAGTTTTTAGGTAGAGGAGAGGTCTTTGGAAGACGTTTGTTATAGCGATCCCGCGATGAAGGTCCATTATTTGCCTTTAATGCCCTCTTCTACAAACTCGCCACCTCCAGCTGGTAACTCTCCTCCACGGCACAGCTCACTGAGACCAGTACTGAGAGTCCGTTCTTTAATTCTCATTTTTAAAACTGTTTGGATTTCTTTATTTAGACTTGTTTATTTTCCTGTATTTTATTTGCAGAACTTTTGAAAATATTATGATTGCATTCAATATGAGTTCTTCCAGTATTCTTTCTCTGTAATACGAGTTATTATTTTAGACGGACATTGCTTTTCTCGTGCAGCTCACGAAGCCTCCTCGGCGGATTGACGTTGCAAGACTTGTAAAGTTAGGAATACCTAATGGGCCTCATATTGCGAAACTTAAGAATGGCCATGAGGTTAATTTGGATGGACGTCTGATCAAGGTTTTCAGAGCGATTTTTATTTTAATTAAAATTCAGTTATTTCATTTTATGTTATTTCGGTGCCAGCATCGTTAGACTTTTGACAGTGAGCTTCAGTAAAAAATGGGTTTTCAGCCGGATGATGTTTTGTTTCCTGAAGAAAGTGGGGAGGAACCAAGTATTTTAATCCTTGAATGCTCCAGCACGGCATATATGTCTTCACTGCGTGAATGCTCGTTACTACAGGTAGACATCTTCAAAGTTACTGTTTGATTTCTTAAGTTTTTTTTATTTAATGAGAAATCTTTTCAGGATTTTATCAGTAAAACAAAAACTTTAACTTACTGTGTTCATTTTACGCGCAAAGAAGTGCTTCAAACGGCAGAATATTCTGAGTGGATGTCGTCTTTAGGAGAAAGCTGTAAGCATATTATTCTCAATGGGACGGGCCCGGCGTTACCTCATTTGGAAGGAGCACACAAACAGCAGGGTTTGTTGAGGAGTATAGCACCGTTCTTCTTCCACGCTTTGAAACCGGAGTTCGAAGGCCTTATTACACAGGTAGGTTTGATGTTATACAGTATGAGAACTTCTTCCTCTTTCTCATCTTCTTTTCTTTTCTTTTTATTGTATAATTTGAGTATATTAGGACGATGAATGTGAACGTCAAGGCAATTCATATTTTGCTCGTCCTTTTCAACGGTTCATTTTACGTGGGAATTCGCATTCCAGCAATGGAATATTCAATAACCTCATTAATGTTTCTTATAAAGATTGTGATATGACGGAGGAGGCTACCTCTGAGATTGAGAAGTTTAGAAAAGGTGAGTTAGGCGTTTTCTTTTTTGACAGAAAATGAGGCAAGTTCTTTTTGTTTATGCGTTTTGGTAGGTTCTTGAATTTATTTCTGGTTTATTAGTTTAATTTCAGTGAGAGAGAAAATTTTTGCTAATTGAGCTGCTCTGTGTTGACAAGTGGAAGTAGAAGAGTGTTGCGAAGAAGCAGGCACCAATTTATATTAGCAAGTAGTAATTAAAATATGTTCGTCTGCTGCTGAGATGCAAGTAGTTAAACCTGGGCAAAAGAATAATTTTTGCGCTAATTTCTCTTTTCATCAACTACTTAAGAAGAGGCAGGTCATGGTGCTATGTTGTTTTGAAAGCAGTTGTGGACGGTTCTAAAATTATCTTTTTACGTTTGTGTGATATAAGTTTCAAACTTTCTTTTGTCATTTTTTAGCCTCGGAGGGGATTGATGAAAATGAGGATGCACCAGCAGTGTTATTTCTCGGCACTTCCTCAGCCACGTCGTCTAAGTATCGAAATGTTAGCGGGCATTTGTTGAAAGCCAGTGAAGATTCTTATATTTTAGTTGATTGTGGTGAAGGGACTTACGGTAATTTTCAAAATTTCAGGCGTATTATCAACGGTCACTTTCCGCGTAATAGCTAGGAAATATGGAACTTATTTTTTAGGCCAAATGCGTGTTTATTTTGGCGATGATAAGTGTGCCGAAATGCTTCTGAATCTACATGCCGCTTTCCTTACTCATTCGCATACGGACCACGTAATGGGACTTTATAGCGTCTTACTTAAAAGAAAGGCCGCATTCGTTGCTAAAGGTTATTTGTTTTAATGAGAACTGCGTGTGTCATTCATATAATCTATGAAATTCAGTTTTATCTCCGCCTGCCTGGAAACTCTTTAGGCGAAGAAATTTCATTTTATAAAGCCACGAAATACTGGTGCTGCAGCCAGTCGTAGAAGATTCATTTGTAAAAACTGATCTAGGTTTTCCAAGACTTTTTTTGGATCTTGTGGCATTAGCAGGTGCTTTGGGAAACTAGTCTTGGAATGACAAGAGCTTAGGTGCGATGATATGCTGCTGCTCTACGGCGTATCATTGTTACGTGTACTTACATTTTTAGTTTAAAAGGTGTTATTTATGGTAGCTATTAATACAAATAAGTAAGCTTTATGTTACATGAATAATGACGAGGGCGATTTTTAATTACGGCAGTGCTCCTCTTGTTCGAAATACATGTTAAATGCTTTTCATAACAGAAACGAGTTTTAAAAAATTTATCGGTTTCTATTTTTTACATTTCTTTTCTTGAGGAGTAGGATTATGATGTCACTTGAGGCGTTGCACCTTTGGTTTGAGAAAGGGAAAAGGAAACCCTGGCAAATTGCACTCTCTGATGTCCTTTTTCATAGAAAGAATCCTCAGATTTTTGTGGGACATCAATAATGACTGCTTCAGCTGACTAGCGGTTGTTCGGGTCGCGTGTGAAAGGGAGGTGGGCAAAGTTTTTGGTACGGCTAGTTCAGGAGTAGTTTTTATTTGGACGAGTATGTTTTATTTTCTTTGGCCAACATCATTTTTTTATCCAATTAATTCTTAAGATAAGCAACTTAGAGTTTCTTCAAGTTTTAGGCTCTATTTGTTCTAGTGCATTCATGGAGGAGAAACACGTAGGACCATATTTCATCAAATCGCGCACTTTTTTAATTTGATCTCTCAAATTTTTTTCCGCTCTTTACCGACTCGTAATTTTTTTTCGATTCACCAATTGGGTATAATCCGAAAAATGTTTCAAAAAGCTGCGCTAGCAGCAATGTTGGACTGTCGTGAAGCTCGAAGAAAACGCAGCTTTTGTAAACATCGTGCTTGTAATTTCACTCGTTCACGATGTACTTCTGAAATTTTTGCCTCTTGAAAGTCAGTCTTCTGCAGGTTCAGAATGATGGTCAGATACCTGCATCGACGGGGTAGACAGAAGATTAAAAGTGGAACAAAAGTTTGAAACGTTATGTCTGAACTTTTTTAAAATTTTTTAAAGCGTTATATTTTGTGAAAGAATAAGTGAGGGTGGTATCTATATGTGCGATTGGATTAGGACTAAACCGCAAGAAAATTTTCAGTTGAAGTAGCATTTTGGCATCTGTGCAAGTTATAACTGAAATATTGTTTTGAAAAATTTCAGTTCAGCTAGTTCAGCAACAGGTGTTTGAACGAAAACCTAAAACTTATTGTCAGAAGCAAGTGATCTTCCGACTTTTATCGCTTTGCGTGCTACTGATCCGCTTTGGCCGAACATCCAAAACTCAGATTTGTTATTGACAGCTAATATTGTTTTACTGTTACACTTTGAAGGTTGCATGGTGTGATGCGAAGGAATTTTTGTTCATTATCAAGACGCGAATTTGAACGAAAACCCTATTCTCAAAAGTATATTGTGAATGAACGAAATTACAAGTTTTTTAAGATGACTTTGTTTAGCAAAAGCTGCGTTCCTTTTCATTTTGCAGTGGCCTAACTTTGCTGCCAATAGACTTTTTGAGGCATCCTTTGACTTTGCAATTGAATGTTGAGCTCTTTACTTCTGTAAGGGTTGAAAAAAATTTGAGCAATCGACTTAAAAAACTTTTTCATAGAGGGTGATCCACATGTCTCCTCGTGTGTCAAAAATATTGTTACCCAGGCTTAGTTTGAAACTTTTGGTGTCTTTTTTCGCTCTATTTCATATTCTTTTTCGCTTTTTTTTGGAAAAATATTTTTTTTCTATAAGACTGTTGTCGCCAGAAATTACGGATGAAGGTTTGGAAATGTTCGTTCATTTGGTTTTTCACTGCTCTCTTTTATTGGAGGAACTGAGATTACAAAAACTTAGTATGTTGTATAAAAAAAGACTGTGATTTTTATTGAAAATTAGGTGTATAATGAAGTAATAGCATACTTTATCCGAGGAGGGAGTACCGCGTTTCTTGCTTCAAAAGTGAACATATTTTCAAATTTTCCATCTGCTTAAGATTGTTGCCACAACGAAAAAATTTTTGTTTGCAGTAATTCATGCTGTCTCTCATCTCTTGCCATTTTCAATTCGCCATCGCTTTTTATTGCTTTTACTTTATTCTTTCCAAGTTTCTATTAGATGTACGTCAGAAAGCGCAGAATGTTCCTCTTCACTAACGAGGCCATTTGTAAAAGAGTTGGCTGCGAACAAAGTCGAGCTCGATTTGAAAATTTTATTTCGTTGTCATTTAACGTGTTATAGGTGGGATTACTGAATTTTTTTACCTCAGTAATTTTTATTTTTCTTTGTTTTTTATTTTATAATTTTTCTGCTGCCAGCTCGAGGAGAGTGGCCTTTCAAATCTGAATATTTCGAAGCTTCAGACATAGTTTTTGCACCGGAGATACACTGCTTTAGATTGCAAGAAATAATGCATTCACATAAAGGCTAATAATAGCGCCTAAGCAATCTTTTGTTAATTTGAAAGCTCGAGAATTATGCTACTCTATAATCGCAGGGTTTGCATTACATCTAGAAAAACAGTTTTCTTGAGAAACCCGTATTGAAGTAAAGCAGATTAACGCGCCGATGTTTTGACATTGAAAAGTCTTCGCAAGACGAGTTGAGTACAGAAGCTGAAAATGAGTCAAGTGACTCGCTGACCTAGCATTCCTTTGTAGTCGTTTGTGCGATCACCTCTTTTTTAGGGTTACCGTTCAGACCACTTTTGGTAGTATGCTGTCCCAGTGTTATGAAAGCGCTCAATGTGTACTCATATGCCTTCTCAGACTTGTCACCGCTAGTTGTGTTTCTTAATCCATTTAAAGCAACGATTGCTGCGAACAGACAGAAGTTAAGGTAGCAGGTGCAACAACACTCCTTTTTAAGCTTGTTTATTTTTTAGCGCCTTTTTTTTAGTAACTGATTAATCATTTTTTCTCCTAATTAGCAAATTCGTTTATTTGATCATCTCTTAAGCTTCTCTTTTTCACGACCACGAGGTTGAGAGCTCCACATTATTTAAAAGACAAGATGCAGCTTAGTTTTCCAGGCAGCCGCAGCTCCAGAGTATCATTAATATGAATATGACGGTGGATTTAATCCCTTTGCTTCCAAGGCCTCTTTTTGACGAAAAGAAATGGGGAGTTCAAGGGATAAGTGCCGTTCAGGTTACAAGTTTTTCACCCTGTAACAGAGTAGTTATCGTACACTTTTGATGGGTTTTTTCAATTTTATTAGTTACATGTGATTAGAATAATCTATGGCTGATACAATTATTAATTGTAGAATAGATTGTCTGAAGTTAATAGGAAAGCTAAGATTAATTATCAGAAAAAAAGAATTAGTAGCTGGGAGTAGTACTCTGTAGAATCGTGAAGTGTTATGGTGTTTAATGGGAGACAAGGTTTATAAGACCATTGTGAATATCTAGAATCCCTTGCTTCAATAAAAAGGATATTTTTGAGGATTTTAAAGGCATTTAAGAAATTACAGTGAGCAAAAGAGGATTTAAACATTTGTTGATCTGGGGCCAAGAGATTTTCACAAGTTATTCGGCTTGAAAAAAGCTGAATTGAGTGTAGTTAGGTTGCTTTTAGATAACTGAACAATTCTTTTTGCTGGCGTTATTTAAACGGTAGTGTTACACTGTAATATATTTTCTGTGTTTTTTTAATCACTTTTTTACTAAGTTCTTCAGCGCCTTCAGGTTCACCATACTCGAATGGCTCGTGGTTACATATTTGAGCTTGCTAGCGGTCATAAAGTGGTTTTTTCTGGTGATACGAAACCGTGTCAATTACTGGCAGAGAAGGGTATCAATGCAGATTTGCTTGTTCACGAAGCAACATTTGAGGATGGCCTTGAAGTTAAAAAAATTTTTCTTTTATATTATTCACACTCTGTTGTTTTTGAAGTTTTTTAATTGGCAACTGTTATTGCATCTCTAGTTTTCGCAGCCTGTTTTTAGAAGGATGCTTTGTCGAAGAAACATAGCACTATGCGACAAGCGGTGGACATTGGTCGCCAGATGAGAGCAAAACACATCATATTAAACCATTTCAGTTGTCGATATGCAAAGGTTTTCTTTAAATTTTGTTAGGATGATTTGTTCATAACTACTGCTTTGATGAAACTTTTAGGTTCCTTCGCTTCCTGGATATTTAGATGAGTTTGGCAACATTGCAGTTGCAGTGGACAACCTTTTTGTAAGTTTCAAGAACCTCAGTATGTTACCAAAACTGATTCCGGTTTATCGAGAATTATTCAAGGACGAACTTTTTGAAATAGGAGTGAAATTAGATCAACAACTTTTAAAGGAACGTCAACAAGCAGAAGAGTTGAAAACGAAAAACTTGCAAGTTCTTAATTCAGAAGGCCGTAGTTCAAGCAATGTGACAGGTTGTAAGAGGAAAGCTTCCTCTGAGTTGCAGTTGTGAGACCTGAGAAACTCTTTTTTTCGGAAGTCTTTCTTTTAGTGGTTTTATTTATCCTAGCATCTAAAGTGCTCGGTATAAGTTACGGTAAATTTAGACACTCAAATTGCCTGAGACTTGTTTAGTCAAATCGATGATTTTAAAATTGCTATACAAGGGTCAAACAAATAGTGGCTGTTCTTTCCACAGATAAGTGCAGTTTACTACAACTCGTATGTTTTCATAAAATACCTTTGAATTAAGTAGTGTAGGGGATAGGTGGTATAAGTTGAGTAAAATCATTTTGCCTTGAAGTTGCGTGTTCCTTCATTTTGGTGTACTTTTTTGAGAACATCGCTTTTAATTAGATCTAGTAAGTTGAATATTGTTGAGTAATAAACTATGGAATTATAGATTTTTGTACTCATAATGATTTTCACATTGAATTTATGAGATTATAAAACTAATTTTTTCCTCATTAAAGTTATTGATGTGTACCTGCACTTTGCTTAATTGTTTACCTGAATAAGTGGAAGCTGAGGTCAGATAGATTAACTGCATTTCTCAGCCACGCATTGACCGTGGTTAATTTTTCTCAGAATTCTTGATTCAGCAGAAGTGCTCTGCCTCGAGACTTCCGTTGTGAACTACAAGGTTATTTCTCTTTTTTTGATTGTGTTTAGAAAAGATTTTGTTTTGAGTAGCATATCCAGTTTGTTCTGTTAGTGCTGTTTAACGCGAGTTTTTTAAGGAAAGACCATCATAAAATAACTGGCAGTTTCTGCAACATTTCATATCTTTTTATTTATAGTTGTTTAAACACCTCTATTTGTAAAAAACAGATGGCTTTATTTTTACTTTCGCAGTGTTGTTCCATTTACAGGTCTCTCAATCTTTTGTTTCCCAGTTTTGATTTTTCTCATGTTTTCGGCGAAGTTGCTGCGAATATCTTTTTTCTTTCTTAGTTTCAAGATCGTTGATTGATTATTATCATAACTCAAAAGCGAAGAAGTGCTATTTGTTGGTTGTTCTCACAGTGTTGAGATTATATCATTCAATTTATCAGTAATTGGTGGCAAAATATACTTTGTGTGACTTGTTGGACATGCAGAGTGTAGTGGAGTTTCAACAAGTTATGTCTTTTCTTTGGCAAGGAAAAGCATGAAGGCAATGATGAAGTTTTGATGTTCAGGGACTCATTAGAATCTGAGGGTACTGCTCAGCAACAGGATTGAAAATCTGCAGATTGAGGGGCGTGTTTAGGAGACGACAAATTAGGTGACAGAACGCTTGCTTCTTCGTCGGAAGTAGGTAAAGCTGCAAATAAAAATTGGTAGCTGGAGGTAAGGGAATGAGCCTCAAGAAAACAGGCGACTGCTTGAGCTTTAGTTGTAAGACAATTCATGAAATCAACAGGCTGGTTGGGTGTTAGGAGGGTGTCGGAAAGAGGAGTGTTCTTGTTTTTTGGGCTTGAGGTTAGACTGTTTTGAGTGCACGTATGTATCAAGCCTTCAAAGAGCCGACCAAGTCCTGGGGAAGGGACTCTTTGGAGAGCTGTGACAGTGGATGCGAAGTATATGTTTTTTTCTTTTGATCCAGTGACGAAAGGAACGTACGAAACAAAAGAGACTGGTCTTCGAAGCAACTTATGGCTGCATCTGTTTGGAAGATTATGGTAACGGTACCCTGCAAGTATAGATAGGACCTCGTTGACTGACTGCCTTCCAAAAGTTACTATCGTGCTGAGGGAGTCGGGAATCAGTTTCAGGAGGGAAAATGTTCTGGAGAACACAGTTTCCCTGTATTTTGGAGCGGTGACGCATGGTTTGGTGCTGCTCCGGTGATAAGGTGGCGTTTGATTGGCTTGAAATGGAAAACAGTGCTACGTCCTTAAGGGTTGAGTGTGGTCCACAACTGTAATCATGATCAGTGGACGGGAATTTCTTTGCGGGATTTCAAGCTCTTAACCGAGGACTGCTGTGAAAAGGTGGGTACATAGTTCTCCCAAAGCGCCGTTAGGTGTGAAGAAACTCGTTTCTGAATGGAGTGAGAAGTGTGCAGTGTTAAAGTGAATACAACTGCTTAGGCGATTTGAGACTACTTGTCAAATTGTCAAATTTCAAATTTTCAAATTCAGTTTTCGAAGGAAATTAGGCAATTCGTATTGCTGTTTAAATGTCGTGCGACTTTTAGACGTTGCTTAAAAAATACCTGTTTCCTTGTTAAACTAGCTAGGCACAGTGCAGAATTTATTACTCAATGCAGTATCTCCCCGTGCCTCTGTGGCCTTTGTGCATGAAAAATGAAAGTCTAATGAGTGCGAAAAGAAATTTGCCCAAGCCATCTCTTTATTCAATTCTTTGTAATTTCAAACTGTTGATCCCCTCAACAGTATTTTCCTTGATTTTACTTTCCTTTTCACCATTTACACAGACTACACCACGAAGTCCACTTATAACTGTGCGTTTAGGAGTGTAGGGTAGCAGTGTAAGAATAGACAGAAAAGCTACAGTTATTGCCTTATATAACTATTTCGAACGTGAAATTCCACTTTTTAATCCCAAATTGAAACTGTACACTTCTAAACGCCTCTATAATTAAAAATCATAAAAAGTGCATAAAGTGCACAACATAGAAATATTATTACAGCCCGCTTGAGATTACAACGTCAGCAATCTGTTTGATATAAAAGGGAATAAAGAATCCGCAGATACACATTGCAGAAAATGCTATTAAAGTTAAGCATGGAGATCATATCACTCTTTTCAAACCTGGAATGAAATTACAAGAACTGAAGAGAAAAATTTGAATAAAGGAATTACAAAACGCAGACAAGAGCCAGAAAACAAGCCTAAGTACTCCACTGCGACCTCATTTACAGTTTCTAGCAACTTCCAAAAGTTGCTGGCAGGTATAGCAACAAGAAAACGAAGAGGGACCTGATCAATTTCCATACAGCATCAACTACACTTAAAACCAAATGGTATCGTCTACATACCTATTTTAACAATCTAAACCATCAGGTAAGAAGTGAAGTGTGCTTTCTTTCCTTTATTTTAGGCTATCGGGATTTCCCAACTACAGCTGTAAAACAGTTGGATTACTCTGACAAAGGTAGATAGACTAACACACCGTCTCCGGTTTATGCGCAAGTTGTGTCTCCTTAAAGTTCATTTCCTCTTGCTCAATAGCCTAAAAGGTTACTTGTTATTACTTCTTTTACAACGCCCTAAAAATTTTAATTTTTTTAATAGGAATTTTACTCAATATATCGAGTAGGATTTCTGCCCTACGCTCCCCTTCTCGCCTGTCTGTACCTATTTTTAGTCCATAGATACATTGGTAAACTTGTCTGGTGTAAAAGATTATCAAATTATTCAGTGTACCACTCAAATCTTCAGTTTACTTTTGAAAACCCTTTTCTTCGTTCAAATGCCAGTTTTCAACATTCACTACACTACACCATAACGACCATCCGGGTCCTTTCATCGCCCTGTTAGACCTTTTCTTGATTCCAGCAGTCCGCAGAGCTACCACAGCCGCCGTCGAGAACCATTGTTTTGGGAGAAAGGAAACAAACAATTTTGCCCCAGTTTTCCAGAAATGAAATTCAAAAAAAAGTAAACGAAAAACTTCTTTTTCCGTAATTGAAATTTTTCTTCGAAAAATTCAATTTATGGTGTACAGTACCTTGGCTTCATCAGTTTCTAGGGCCTTTCTCTGCTCCAAGTGTCTTGCAGCCAATTGGTCCTCTTGCGTTTGTACTCTTGAAACAACATTTTTTAAAACAGCGTGGCGATCGGAGATTAAACACAGTTTTTCAATGCATTATTTAAAAAATCAAATGCTGTAGAGACTGAAGGTTTTATTTACCATCCTTGGGAATGCGAGACAAGAATTTTTAATGTTGATTTTTTAAGAGCAACTATCTTTCTAACTGAAACCCCTGCTGCCGTATCGTCAAATTGAATGAAGCATAATACTTACTTCATCCTCATCCTTCTGCGTTGTTCCAAGAAAAGCTTCATAATTTCGTCACTCTTCTCTTTCCATCTGCGGTCCTTTTCAGTTTTCGTCTTCAACGTTTGATCCTGAATATATAATTCTTTTACCATTCCACGTAAGGAAGAGGAAAGTCAAATCTTTACTACTGAGCGGAACTAATAAAATAATATAAGCAGTAATTGTTTAATACTAAAGACCGGTCTCGAAAACGTCTCAGTGAAAAGTCGCTATAAAGACTAGTTATGAAGAAACATTAAAAATAATTTTCATTACTTGATAAATTGCTCTTCTCCCATCAGCACTCCTTTGAGTTTGAACTGTTTGTAATAACTTGGACTCGGCTGACAGACGTGCCTGTAGGCTAGCGAGCTGAGCTTTTTGAGCTTCACTCAAGAGTTTGCTTGAAAGAGGCTTTTATAAACTCGGTAAGTAAAAGTTAATTAGAATGTCCTTCTCTTAAATCGAATACTATCAAATTACTTATATTTTATGAACCCGTCAATGAAATTTTCAAGTTTGCTTACTTCAGCAGTTCAAATTCGCATCTTATGTGAACCTTCTTCAAATTATGTATTTCCTCAGCATGTCGATTCATCATTGTTGACCATTCTTTCGTTTGGTTAGAAACAAGAGAGCGCATCTTAAGAATAACTCATCACAAAAAAACTTTAAACTTTTATTGCAGCAACAGGTCAAGTAAACTTTAAAAAATACACTAACAGTTATGTAATTAACCTTATTATCACAAGCTAAAGTCAGTGATGACGAGGGATCAGAAGCTGTAGCAACCAGGACTTTCCTTGAACCATCATCCCTCGAGCACTCGTTTGGTTTCTTTTTCATACGCTTTCTACTGCCACTAATCAGTTTCTCTACTTTTACTTGCTAAAAGTAACATGGAGCAGGGATTTTTTTAGCAGATAAATCCCCTCAAAATTTAAAAAACCTACTTGGTTTTTTTGAATACCTAACCGCTGCTTCTCCTGCTTCTTTTTTAGCTCAATCATTTCTTTCTCCATTTTCTTTGTCAGTTTCACATAACTCTTATCTTTTTTCAGATCCTCTATCTTTATATCCTCCATCTGAAAAACCAATGGTTGAAATCCAGCATATTTCCAAATCTTTTTTTCCATTCTTCAAAAAAACAGCAAATTAAGTGCCACAAAAGGATGAAAAATTTCACAGTGACTGATGTTGAAAGTAGTCTCTGTAACATACATTATCCATTAAAAATGTTATTTCCAAAACATACATCTACCAAAAAATGCTAACACACGATCATAAACCGGAGAAATAACTTTGAGCCTTTCTGTATGAAAAACATTAACTTTTTACATTTCAATTACAAGAAATCATTGAAGATAAAGGCTCAAAGTTCAAAGGAGTAAATGGATCAATGTGGGCGAAACATTAACAAGCTTATTCCATAATTCTAAAAAATAGAACTTCAAGGGGATCATACTGGACCTGACGTCATGCTAAAGCACTGCTTGAGGAAAGGAAGCTGTAACACCGGCTAGAAAAAGTTAATTTGTTATTTACGTACTAAGTTCGGGCAAAGGTAATTTCTGGTTGCAAATATGGAAACTCATAAAACCTCGGGTACCAGAGGAACGGTCTTCAATGTCCTTTGTAATTTTAAACAAAGATTCTAATAATGAACATTTTCCATGCTCTCTAAATGGAATCCGTTTTTTTGAAGACGATGGGGGGAAATTTATTTCAAGCATATGAGGACTGTGGCAAACTACAGGCACTATCGAAACCTTAGTCATGGTCTCGTTGCCGTGTCCACGCTCTGAAAGCCTACGAGCAGTTGATCCATTATGTTCTCGTATGCTAGAAGTCGGAGGAGAGTTTGATGCCGATAAACGCGGGGCCGACGAATGTTGTTTAATCGAAGAATGCTTCAAAAGTGATGGTCAAACGGTGTACAAAGGCTACTACTCCAAAGTAGGGAAGTAAACTGTAACTTAAAATAATGCTCGTTGCTTAGCGCAGATAAATTTGTCAAAGAAAAAATACTTCCCATTGCTTCAATGAACCAATCTTTAATTTTAGGTATTATTTCTGCAGAATTAGCATTTTATAAAGAAAAAAAATTTTTTTGTTAGAGACACGAGTAACCTTGAAATTTCAGCTTGAACTCTGCTGGACTAAAGTTTTCATGTGTAAACAGAGAATTAGAAAAGATGACGATGAACTTACGCAAAAAGCTGCTTTTTAGACGGTGAGGAACTGTGTCAAGTAACCGAAGTAAACAACTATTTCCAAACAATTATTTTTTAAAAAACTTAATATAATAAACGTTGCTGTAAAGTGTTCAGTTTGAGTTCCAAATGTCATTAACAAAAAAAAAATGATTACCTGTTTCTTTGAATCTTCCGAATCGAGATTATGTTTATGCAAACTTGTGTCCCTCAGAGACGTCTGATGAAGCTTTATAGTACTGAAAGGTATTGAATATTTTACTTTAAAACTGTTTCACGCACCAAACAAACAAATGTCGCAAAATCTTCATTGACTTAAAGAAAGAATTAGTAACAAGTTGTTCTTACGCAGTGTTGTTTGAAGACCCATTGATTCTTAGCAAGCCCTCCTTGCTCCCATAACCATCATAAAAGTCATTTTCATCTACGCCCATGCTGTGCAGCGCATTTTCCAGCTTGTCCTGCGTAACCTCATATGCTTTTCGTGGTTCGGCCAGTGCATCACAAAAATCTAGAGTTCATTAAGTAAAGCAACCTCATCAATTTATAAGTTAACACATCGACTTGAAACTCTAACTACGCCGTTCAACATTAGACAACAGCTTGTGAATGAATTACAGCAGAACTTACTATTAAGACCATCAGGAACATACGTTTTGACACAAATATATACAAACAATGTCGGTAAACCTAACGATATATTAGACTCATTACGTAAGGTTATATGTCGATACCCAGGCTGAAGACCATCAAAAGGTAAAATTCTTTGCCCAATTTGCTTTCCTGTTTCATCATAGACTGCAAACCGTAAAACAGCCAGTTCAGGAAGGACTACCTAAATAATAAATTTTGTTAAAAGACTTCGCTTGTCAAAGAAGAACACTGGAAAAAATAATACAGCGTTTGATACGAAATACTACTTCGAAACCTTTCTAAAAACAAAAGGTTCACTATCGTAAAATGGATTAAGAGCATTTGCTGGAACTGTCCGAGTGCGGTGTTCCTTCCGTATTGTGTCGGACGGCAATCCGTACATTTCCACTTCAACGTACGTCCCCACCCTTCGAGAACACAAAAAATGCCCAGAAATTACCTTAAAATTTTTGGTAGACGAAACTAGCTACAAATGTCAAAAATACAACAAGTAAAACGTACCAAAGTTACTAAAGAACACAATTCACGAGCCAAAACTTCAACAAGTAAGAATAAAAAAAGCCTCATGACCACAACGTTACAGTTCTAAAAGAGCAGTCTAAACTCACTTTTACAGAGCATTGAGCAGCAACAACACCATCAACAGGACTTGCTGCGAATGGGTTGAAAACCTTGTCCACCCTTCTCATAAATTCAGGTTTGAGCAGGTAACTGGAATTCAAAAAGGGCTCCACAAGAAAGCAACTAAGCACAAATATGAAAGTTTCAAAAGCGACGCATTGACCGAAAACTTTGAAAGTTCAAAACACCAAATTAAGAAAAGTACACGAACCCACAGCCGCCGTTCCATTCAAATTTGCCGTGATTTAACTGCATGTACGTATCGGTAGTTTGAAAATTTAAGGCAACCATTTGACATCCAACATTCCAAAAAACCTGTGATAAGAACAATATCGATAGCTATTTTGAAAATTAACCATTGAGTTGCAGAGAAAAAAGGGCAACCTGCGGCAAAAAATTGCTGGAATCTACACGGGCGCCTTTCGGATATATCCTACTCATTTGCCGTTTATTGTACGAAACAAATTCAGCAGCATTTTGCTTCATGATGGTCAATCCAACGCTTTCAGAAAATGAAGACATTTGATAGTGAATGTTATGTTCTGTAACAGTTTCGTTTGCTAAATTTGAAAAACTTTAATCAACACCAACATAGGTTGTCAGGTCTTAATAAAACTAATTTTTTAAAAAGTGTCATTATTGTTCTATAGTAATTCTATTTTAATTAAAAGGCGCTAACCTTCAGAAGCTGCGAAACCAGAAAATTTGACTGGGCAAGTGTAAACTACCAAAGAAGACAATAAGGGATGTACATTAGTAGTGGCACCCGTGTAACGATATTGCTCATAAATGCGGCTTTCCTCCTCAGCGGTAAGAAATGGCTGAAAAAATAGGAGTTGTTGGAGAACTGAAGCGAAATATTTCTGAAAATCTAACAACAAAAAAAAGCATGCTATTAAGCTAATCTCACGCTCATCAGAACATGCATCTAGACCATAATTTAAAGCCACTCGTAGACGTAACTAGTAAATCACATTCAACGTGTTAGATTCCACTCGAGGGGCTTTCGCAGCTCCATTACAGTAAACAGGAAAGGTTCAACTTATTAGAGTTAAAACTTCTGAGATATACGATTAATGTATAAGTGATGTGATTCGAAAAAGTAAGAAAAATGCTTGAAAAGTTAAATTTCTGGTAATCAGTCGCACAATCGGATTTATTTGGAAACGCTCAGATTCAAACCATGCAAATGATAAGAAAAGCAAATTTCATAACAAAAACAGCTGCATAACATAGGAAAATTTTGATAACACAACTTGTAAGTAAAAAGGAACCAGGTCAGGATAATAACTATACTGGGTATAAAGGTTACTTTAGCGTCAGTAGACAAAAAAACGCTCAACTACATGTTCAGAAATAAAAGTCTAAAGTTCAACTTCTACGGGTAAGTAAAAAGAAATGAAGTTTGCAAATCAAAACAACTGCCTGCCACAAGACTCGCCACTGGCAGTATATGAGGTCCCATATAAGGGAAAGTAATACTGAGTCGCCAGTTTGGGAAACCAGGAAGCTTAATGGGCCTCCTTTGAATGCAGAAAACCAACTGTAAAGGATAAAGTGAGGTACACTGATAGGAACATCTCGATGGCATAACATCAAAACAAGCTGATAAAGCGCGAAGCCGTGTATATGCAGAATTTGAGATAATCATGCTTCAGGAGATTGCCTTCTTTTTCTGTCTCGTTGAAGAACTGCGTTGAGGTTGGGAATCCAGCAACGCTGCACTTAAGCTCGCGCTTTCTGAGTCTGGTTTGTAAGCGCTACGACGAAACGAGCGTCTATTGCGGAAGGACGTTGACATCGATACCGATAAACCGCCAGCACTAGAGCTCGGAATCTGTTGCTCACTACCACTCTGCATTATGAAATTTAGGTTTACAAATTTCGGCACCTTACCCAAATAAATGTTAAACTACTCCCAAAGTGATTGATCACGGAAACAACAAAAATAACCAGCATTATTCCCATCTTTTGTTCAAACTATATAGCTATTTCTACAAACGGCGGCACTTTTTCTACTGCTGTGCTCGTAGAACGCTGCGAGCACAGTAACTGCCTCCAATGTAAAAAAGAATAGTATGTAAAACTATTTTTTCGGCTTGGGCTTGGCTGCGTAAATGGAACTCTCCATTACGGTAGGAAACAATAAGATGGAGTACAAAAATAAGCAGAATCAAAGGCGTTAGAAAATTCCAGCTAGTATACACGACTTGAAAAAAAGAAGTATGACTGTAAATTTAATTCAGTTAAAGGATAAAAAGTCATACACAAGAAGTGTTATAATTTTAACTGTTAATCGTAAAACTGAAGCCTTACAACAAATTAGATGTTCTGAAAAGGAAAAAAATGTGTAAGAGAAGCAATTCCTCCAACAATGTAAGAGCAGAGCACAAAGAAACATCTTTTCTATTCAACTTAAATGGAGAAACTCATAAGTACAAGAGAGAGTTGAAAATAGAACTAATTTATCCAGCTGTATAGTCTACTAAATTTTTTAAACGCGATCTCAAGATAAAGATGAGTTTAAAAAAGAACCGGTTCTTCCAAGTTGAAACAAACCACCATTTGAAAACTTTCAAAAATTTAGTAGCCCCGTTAATTCGAAACAATTATCTGTGTCAAGGCAACACAAAAAAGATTAAGTTTCAGGCGATTATGACAGTAAACAATAAAGAAAGGAAAACCTGAGGCTTTTTTGTGAATCCTAGTGGTTTTAGTTTAGAAATGAAGTTCTGTTTAAGTTCTGGATTAGCCTCATCAGGCTCTTTGGCCGTGAGTGTATCTCCTACAATAATTGCTTTTTTTAAAAGGTTAATATCATGTTTTTTTAGCATTTCTCAACAGCGAAATTAAAATTGGATACAGCAAAAGGTACCAGGTTTTCCAGCAAGTAAAACCTGACTGCCATGCCGAGACTCCATTTCTGGGTGGGCGCGTTGATCAATGAAAGCTAAACGTTCAGGTATAAGACAAAATTGATATACCGAAGCAACATGAAACCACCACTCAAGGAAGAAAACGAGAAATACTTCACTTAATGCTATAAATTCTTACTCCAAAAAAGCAGTGATTAATAATCAGCAACTCCTCTAACAAAGTTTCTCTACATCTGAAATTCACCCGACACTCTACTGTTTATCCTGGTAAAAATAAAAATTTCTTACGTGATGTCGCTAATCCTTCTTCAAGAGTTACTTCTGGTGTTTCTACCGCTTCTTCCTCTTCGTCAATTTTACCCTCACGATAGAACTGTTCCAATTGAGACTTCTCGATTTCCGGTTTCAAACGTTTGTTCTTTATCAGTATCTTCCTTTTAAGATTGTTTGGAGAAGGTAGCGGAACTCCAGCTTCCAACTAAATTAATTTCTATAGCAAGTACCAAAAACATTTCATAAAGTAAGAGTTCCGCAATAACTCAGCGAAAGAAAAATTGTATATTGAAAGAACTTTCGGTGGTAAAGTTTTTGTTCCTCAACACCAAACTGCCTAGCCTGCTCAACTCTCAGTGCTTACTTTTATACTTGAGTTCTTAAATCAGAAACCCCAATGCAGCTTTCCGAATCAGCCTTGAACTTTAAACCATTCAGTTATCAACAAATCTACCATCATCTCTCCGATACCCTCTGTCGCCTTCAACCGCCACGTAAAATTTATTGCTTGCTGCTTTAGTCTTCAACCTTGCTGCTAATTTTTGTAGAAGAAACTACAGACTCAAATCCGTGTTACAGCTGGCATGGCAATAAGCTTTAAAAATTGTATGATCGCACTACCGGATATCTCTCCAACGGCTTTGAGAGCAGCATATCTCCAAAAATATCCATAATGTATTTGGCCATCTTCAGCTGATTGGCTTTTGAACAGTGATTTTCTAGTGAAAGAATAACGGGGTATTCGGAACGCGCAAATGCTGTTTCGCGAATTTGATAAAGCACATCCTTTAATAAAAAAACTCTTAAATGACCAAGAATCAGGTTCTTTGTACAACGTCAGAAAATAGTTCATTTAAGAATTGTCTGGCAATTGTTGAATGTAAATATAACAAAAAACAAGTCTTTCCTTAACATATGTCACTAGTAATTTTTAAATTCTCACTCGGAAAAAAACATCTGTACACATTGCCTTTCCATGAGTTATGATTGGCTCTCCTTTATTCTCACCAGTACCATCCCAACAATCCAGTTCCACGCACCTAAAATTCTCTAATTAAAACAGTGATTACTATATATGGGCCATTCCATGCCAAATCGCACACCTTCGTAAATCACCCTCTCAGATTTTTTTCATTTTTCGCTGATTAGTAGAGTCTGAACTAGCATAAAGAAAGCAGCAAAGAAAATCCGGAAAAGTGAATTCCCCGCCAAGTTACCCCCCCCCCCAAAGTTGCAAAATTTGCCAGGTTGCCGCCTGACATGCCCATATTTGGAGGCTTGTAATTTGGTTCGTTCTTAACACAATTAAACGCTTTTTAAGGCAACTTATTTCCATATCCTGAAGTTTTGAAAGAATGTTAAACAATCTAATTCCGA